CCCCAATACACATCCATTTCTTGCCTGTTCAGTGCTTATCCTGAAATGAGGAGGAAAACTTGGGAAAAGCAGTAAGTTTGCTATAGACACAAGATCAGGGGGAGCTGAGACTTTTCTTCTGCCCCTCCTCGCCCTGCCACTCCATCCTCCTCAAGGAAATTCTCTGCTCTGGGATTCTTTTAATTTCTTAGGTGTCATTGTTTTGGACTTATTGTTAAGTGTGGATTTTATAGGTTTCCTAGATGTCTTGTACAGGAGCTGCTATAAAAAGAAATTGTGAGGTAGGGGCTGGAAGATAGACCCCAGTGGGAAAACAGTGGGGCACAGAGAGGAAGATGTTGGGTGTATGGGAATGAAAGTGAAGCTGCCCAGTGGGAAACTCCAACATGCTTTTCAGCCAAACCTTCTTTATTTGTCTTCACTCAGGGCAGAGCTTCTGCTCCCTGGAAGACTCTGCTCTCATTGCAGCGGACTCTGATCCCAGAATGCCTGGAGCATACCCTGCCATCAACCACAGGAGAACAGCCACAAACACCACTTCTACCCACATGTTTAATTTTTCACCACAGAGGCAATACATTTTTCAAGGGATGAATGAACATGCCAGCTACACAGCCCTATACCAACAAGTCTCCTTCGGGGAATGTTTCCTCTTGCAAAAGTACTGCTTTCTACTCCCCCTGGGAAACTCCACAGTTTCCCAGCGCACATCTCCTCTACTCAGCAAAAGTGGGCTGCCCCGGGGGTAGCATACCAAGCAGCACAGTGARCCCAGTCCCTCTGCTTTCTTGAAGCATCCACTGGTTAGAAGCACAGAGAGGAGCTAAGACAAATCTCTTGCAAATGCAAGGGAAATCTCTGCCATCCCACAAATAAAGGAGGGGATTAGAAAAGCAGCCCTGATGTGTTTGCTGCTGGAGTGGAAATTCACAACGTTATACACGCTGTAGCAAACACTCCTAACATTTTACAGTGGTGAAGCACCAGCCAGGCAATAATAACAAGCAGCTGTCCAGGAAAAGCAAGGCAGTCCCTGCATACTCACTGTTGCTTCCCTACCAGTCTGCAGCTCTTGTCTCAGGAGGCAGCTCTCTTGGTGTCTTGGACCCTGCACCGAAGAAGAGGGACCTTTTATTTATGAGCATCGATCAGWGACTCCACCCCTCTCCCACTCTTGATCCACCCCCAGGCTACCATCAGAACCACCTTCTGCCCACAGCCAGGAAACCAGCAGCATCAAAGAACTGAGCCAAAAGGGAGAGAGCCAGAGCACACACCAGAGGCTACGAGGCACACACGAGCCTTTCTGTGCCTGGGAGCAGTGAGTGGACAGAGAACTGAGAACAAGCTCCAGTCTCCCWCTTTGTTGCAAGACCTGCCCCCCCACCTCCCTTTCACCCCCTCACCTCCCTTTCACCCCGTCCTTTTCTGGCTGTGCTCTAACTCAAGCTACACTACTAGCCCTGTTTTTCCTCAGGGAGCAGTAGGACAGGAGCCTTCTCCCATCTCATTATATGCTGCTTTTACAACTTTCTGATCCCCTCTCTTAATGGCAGGCTAATGTCAGACTGGAAACTCACATGGCAAAGGTGTTAGCTCTGAAACCTCCAAAACTGACACATTCTATGAGGCAAAGAGTTGACTTACACAAACCCAAACCCTGAGATGCACACTCTGCTCACACCAGACCCACTCAGTGCTGGGCAGCCCAGGATATGTGATTGCTGGATTGGGATGTTGGCCTCTGGCCGTGTCTGCAGCACTGCACCACCTGGCACATGGTGCATGTAGAGCACCGGGCTGCTGAAGCATCAGAGTAGCAGCCCACAGCAGTGCTGCATCCCTCTTACCCTTCCTCAGCAGAGATCCATGCCTGTGCCTGCGCAGCRTGGTTAATGGCTGATCCAGTCCTTAAGTAAAGGTGGGCACAGCCTGAGGGACTGAGGTCTGCAGAGGTGAGATCATAGAATCATGGCATGGTTTGGGTTGGAAGGGACCTTAGACATCATCTAGTTCCAACCTCCATGCCTTCCACGACAGCAAGCTGCACAAAGCCCCAGCCAGCCAGGCCACGACCCTGGTCTTGGGTTATCCACACCTTCTCCTTTTTCAGTGTATCTCCACTGTCACAGTCAAGAATTTTGTCCCAATATTTAATGGAGGGGATGATCAGCTGTAGAAYTAATGGCTTGGGAAGTCAAGAAAGAAACACCAATACATTATTCACTAATTGAACAGCTGGGTGAGTGTGACTTGTCTGGTGCAGAAAAAGATAAAAGTGTGCAGCCTTGGTTGCAAAATTAGAATGGTGACATATCCATAGATTTAAAGAATCACCACAGTTTGGACAGAGAGCAGTGAGAGCTCCTGTCCAAGGGTTTTATCTTTAGCTCTCGGAGTGCTCCATGTGYTTGAGGGAAGTTCAGACTTATCCCTAGCAAGGAGATACCACGTTACTTGTGTCATTGTACAAGCAGCTGTTGCTCCTCAGAGCCTGCGAACAGCAATCCTGAGCTGACCTCAAGGAATAGGGCACATAAATATGAACCACCTCTGAAAAACAGTGCAAACAGGGGGCATTTCTTGCCCTTGTCTACCACCCTTCAGGGTCATCTAAATTTTCAGCCTTATGACATACTGGACCCTGAAAGAAATCCAGACTCAGAAGATCTGGTCACCCTCATCTACCTAGATACTGGTAAATCATTTGCCCCAGTATCATCTGGCAAACTCTCAGTAAAGTAGGAGTGAAAGGCAAGATGGCAAGGAACCAGACAAGTGGGGCAAAAGCTTAAGCAGTGGAAAGAAGAAATGATGAGAAATTCCAACTGAAGTTCTGTTGGGATTAGCTTTATTTAGTTCTATTAATGACTGTCTTTAAAAAGGAATGTTCGTTGAGGAAGTTGGTAATTACACATAGCAAGAAAGCAACAGCAGTGAAAAGGAGGCCTGAGAGCTCATACAGGATGAAAAGGATGACCTTTAAAGCTTTATTAACAGAAACAGGAYAATATGCAATAGGGCAAAGGCAAGGTCTTCCATCAGGATTAGCAGCAAGAATCCTGCTGTAAATTAAAAGCTCATCAGCTAGAAGTAAAAGCAAACAAAAGGAACAAGGATGAATTATCAGTTGTAAAGGTGATGGCAGGATACCAATTCTGAGATTTCTACTGAGGATGTACCAGCAGAGATGGGTCTCTATTAGGGCCACCGGGTAAATGACTAGGAAGACCTCACCAGGATTCYTCTGTATGGCCCAGGTCGTCCATGCTCATGGAAGAATAATTCTGGTGGGCAGTGCTGTAGATGAGGACTAACAAGGTAATGTSATTTGCACTCACTCCCAAAATGACAGACCTTTCCACCACAGCCTGTAGGAGTTGCCAAGCCTCTCCATCCCTCCATGGACCTCAAGGCTTTTCCAGCAGGACAATGGACTAGCAGTTAAGTGTTGTTTCCAGTATACCTCCCGGAGCTGTTTCACAGCTCACAGCTCTCATGATTTGGAGAAGCCCCATTTCCAGCCTCTGTGTCTTTTAGGCCATGCTCTACATCTCTGTCTCCCTCACTGAGTGTCCAGCTTAGGCTAGAAAAGCTTCATCAGCAAAATAAAATAAATCCTATCAGCTCTGTAACAGAACAGGGTTTCCAAACCCAGKTTGCCCAGAGTCTCAATAACTGGACTCACCAGTCTGGACAGTCCTTTTTGAGCTTCTTCCTGTGTGTCAGAATCTAAGTTAGTCAACCACCACATGGTCTATGGCTTACGAAGAGATTTCTCAACATGATAAACAAGTGCTTTTGAGAACAACTAGTTCTACAGCACATGAAAAAACAAGAATTTATTTTTACTTTTCCATTTAGTCCCAAGTAATACCCAGGAACTGATCCAAGGGGGAAGAATAATTGAGCCACTAAGTAAGAGTGTTTGAGTATCCACAAAATAATTAAAGTCAACAAACTCATGGAATAAATCGTGCTGAAAACTAGCATACTGACACTAAGCTTTAGAAAGGGAGATGTTTTTTAAACACAGAAGCTAGTCAAAAGACTATGAAATAAAAATAAACACAACACATTTCAGACATTTAAAGAACTTGATATACATATCTGAACGTGTGTTAGCTCTGGCAGCAAACTCACTCAGCTACCCAAAATTAACACTTAAGTTCAAATGCTAGTTCAACCTGGGGAAAAAAACATTTCAAAACTAGATTTTAAAATTTCCAAATATTAAATGAAAGGGGGGGAGGGCACATAAACAGGAAAATCTACTTTCATATCAATCAAGCATTTTTTTTAAATAACTGAAATTACTAATTTCCATTTCCATGATGGGGTGGGGAAAAAAGAGTAATTTCATAACAAGTAAGTGGTGGGTGTTTTTCCTCAAAAATATTTAAACAYACTTCTTTGACATGTCTTGACCTTTCCCTTGTGAAAAATTTTGCCCCCAGCATTACAGCTTTCTGTAAAAATAAAAGTTTCCAGTGTGAAAACACATATTGGTTCTAACAATGTGAAACTATGTGTAGTCTTAGGACTGCTTTAAAAACCACTGTCTGAAGCTCACAGWTAGTGTCAGTCTGTGGGTGGGGAAGGTTCTCACACCATCTTACAGCTGTTTTCTTTCATGCTTTCTCCAACATTTTAGGCACTTTAGAAGCTTCCCTTTCCATCTTTTGTAATAACTTCCAATAACTTTCTCCTGCCCATGGATGTGGAGTACACTTGCATGATGAGGACGAAGGATGTCACCCTGGGCTCCAGGACAAATGGTTGCTCAGTATCTCAGTGGTAAGGAGCAGGACTGAAAACAAACACAATAAAAAGGCCYAGATCATTCCTCTTTGAACAAATTCAGTGGATGAGAGGATAATTCTTCCACCTACACTGATTTACAGAATTCGGGCCTGTGTGCACATTAGTCATGACGCTAAAATGAAGTTTACAATTGGTAAGCTCTGGGGTTCGGCTGGTTGGTTGGTTGGTTGGTTGGTTGGTTGGTTGGTTGGTTGGTAAACTGGGGAGATTTATAGCCACTGTATTAGGGTTGTGGTGGCAAATATTTAATCTACTGGAATTCAGAGATTAGTGTCCAGACACAAACCACATACAACTGTGATCCTCAAAGTTCCTCCTTGTAATCCATCAAGCTTCCAAACAAAGCCCAGTGTCCTAGAAAAATCGCAATCTGGCTATGAATACAGGAGAATTTGGAGTCAGCAGTACAGCCTAATGGGAGATCATTGCTCTCCATTTCTGCTTGTTGGAAAAGAGTGAGCTTGGCCCAAGCTTTCAACTCCAGTGCTCAGCACCCTCCATGGGATATCACTGAGTTACCTCAAAGACTATTTCTGTTTGGCCAGGACTTCCCAGAACAGCTGTGTTTGGCTGCTAATGGGAAGCTTATGAACAGACAAGACTAAAATTTCACAGAAGTCAGACCAAGGTTATTCAGTTCACTGCATAAAGCAACCAAAACATTCAGGACTAAGAGCTAACTCTGTTGCTTCCTTTGGCTTCACCCCCACCCACCCACACATGTCCACATACACTGATCAGCATATTTCTCTTTCAGTCTGGGAGGGAAGGAAGAGGCGGGATAATATTAACATTATTTGGATGTTGAAAAAAATTGGCAGAAGCTCTTGTGTACAGATGAAATAACCCATACAAGAAAACTGCATTGCCTGTACTTGAAGAATCTTATGAAAAATTGAGCAAGCAAAATGTTCAGATTTCATCTATGTAAACAGAGGATCTTTCTGGATTGCACTCTTTTGGGAAAAGGGAACAGAAATCTCTCTTCCTTTTCCATCTGCCTTTTCCACACCCATTCCCCTTACTTCACCCCATGAACACAAAAATGTCCTGACTTGATTCATTCTTTGGGATCAGATGAGATTTACCCTCCTTATTTCCTGTACAGACATGGAAAGAGATAAGAAAGCAGCTGTGGTTTCACTCTTCTCATCCATCTGGTAAATATTCTTCTTTTTTTTTTAAACAGCATACTTAGATAGCATCTTAGATCCCAAATCTGCCACCCCTTGTGAAGGCATGACTGGACTCAAATATTCTGTCTGTCTTGAATGCAGGAGGCCATTGAAGTATTTACAAGGATCCCTGTAGTATTATATATGTTTCTTTGTTCTATCTCAGTTCAGTATCTGAAGGATCATAAATGTTGTCTTTAGTAGGTAAATAACTTTCTCTGTGACACATCAAGCTTTTGGTCTTGGCCTCTATTGTTAATATCAGATAGATTACAAAAGAATGCTGTGGAGTGGAG